ATATATTTCTTGGAATTCCAAAACTACCCAGATTCTAAAAAGAGGTTAACTTTTATCCACTAGTATAAAATGGGGTAATGGAACTAGCAGTAGCATTAAATAATTTATTAGAAATCTCGATTTCTAATCGAATGCCGTTACTAAGCTACCTTATTGATTTCCTCTTGTTTTGTTCCATGTGAAATTGAATGAATGTAACGATGACCTATATATCCGACACCTCAAGACCGATCCTTTTCATTTTTTTTAACCCTTAAATAAATGGCGAACTTCACTTCAACAAAAATATCAATCAGCAGCGTTTCTTTCTTTCTTTTTTGATAGTTATTGATGATATGATGATTCTATGAAATTAAATAGTGCCGCAAATCGATCCATCTTTCGATGTATTAAAGAATCGTAAGGGCCGCCAACGCTGTTTCGGGAGTTCAAATTAAAGTTACATTTTGTTTGCAAAAACTATACAACTTGGAATTATGAAGGTATGCTGAAAAATGTTGAGAGATTGCGATGGAATAAAAAAAAAATATTATCAATTAGTTCGAGAATCATTTACTGGTTAAGTTGTTAGAAGAAATACCGAAACCAGGCAGCAACTTGAAACATGTCGACTTTCATTTACATTAGCCTATCTTTGAAGTCAATGAAGTTTTTTATTCAAGTAGTTCGATAATTATTTACTTTTAAACTAGGTATAAGAAATACAAAGCGGGCCGCTTTATAGACAGCAGGAATGCAACTACTGAGTTTAAATTTAGCATGATGATAGTATCTAATCAAGAAAAGAAAAAAAAAGAATTTATAAAATAATAACGAATTATTAACGAGGAAAGCTAGTTTAAAGACGACAAAACATGTTTGATTGCTAGAAGAGTATGTATTTACTAAGATGTAAGCTAATATACTGCTTAAATGCTCCCTAATATATTTTAAAATTACTTCAAAATTTCCAACATGCATGCTAACTAGTTTTTAAATTTTCTGTATGTTTGAAAACTGGCATCAAAATTTCCAGTATGATCCATATTGGTTTTAAAATTTATAGTATGATAACATACTGGTTTTAAGCTTTACAGTATAGTACTATGGTTATACTGGTTCTAGTATCATTTTTACTGGTTTTTCTAACCTTTTCCAATAGGGGAAAGGACCATATTTGTTTATGAACTTAACACAGAGTGTTTTTTTTTTTCTTCGTTTTTTCGTTGAAATTTTTTTTTCGTTGCAATTCATTCGAAAATTAATTATTATTATTATTTTATTTATTATTATTTTATTTATTATTATTTTATTTATTTTTATTTTTATTTATTTTTATCTTTATTTATTTTTATTTATTTTTTAATTTTTTTATTTATGTTGCATTTTGCTTTACTGCGGAAAAACGATCAGTTCTTTTTCGTGAAACTAACTTGAAATCACGATGGTAAGAAATACTGGGAGTTAAACGGAATTTTAAAAAAAATTTAAGATTCAACAGTTAGTTCGAGAATCACAGTTACACTTGTTGGGAAAAAATACCATGTTTGATCGATCTGTAACTCGCTGAAATGCAACTACTGAGTTCTTCGTCGTGCTGAACGAACCATTTTAATTTGTGAACTTAACGCAACTTTTGTTTGAAAATTCCAATTTTGTTCCAAAGTTATAGCAAATATAAGTGCTTTTACACATAATATTTTTTTTTCTTTAAATATTTACAATTTATCCAGCGTTATAAAAAATTTATTTTTCCTTCATGTAGTCTTTGTTTATTTACTTTATTAGCTCGCGTTTGAGCAAACGTCAATCAAAATTAGAGAGTATATGTTACCAGATATAAATCTAAATATAAATTTTTAAAAATAAAAGAATATAATAAATAGCGATAAAAAACCATTGAATTGTTATAACTTTAGTTAACGAGTAAAATTACTTCTCACTGATTTCTTAAGTTAAATTTTTATTTCTACATAGAGATGATTATTTTTCAAATCTAGGTAATTTATGGTCTATTTCGTTATGATTAACATATTAACAGAATGTTCTTACATAAAGCTACAATAATTGTACATTTTGAAAACAAAATGTTCTGTTTTTATGGAAAATATTGACGTTTAAGAAAGAAAAAAAAATCTATGATGAACGAGAAGTAGTTATAGGAGTTGGTGAGCTACACCTCCGAGTAATCTTAATTAATATTACCATAGCACCACTTGCATTAAGTATTCAAAGAACAAGAACATATAAATTTACCGATGCTTAGCAATACTTTTTTTTTTCATATAAACTGCTGTTTGTAGAAAATGCAACACCATGAAAGAATCATCAGAATCAAATGAAATTTAATGCAGAAACGACTTGTACTGATACAAATAAATGATGAAATTTTCAAAACAAAAGAAACAAATTAAGCGTCCGAAATCAGTATTTGGTGCAGCCACCACGCGCTGCAATAAGTGCTGCTATACGACGTGGCATGGAGTCAAACAGATGTTGAATATCTGCTTGAGGAAGAGAATTCCATATCGCTTGTATGCGCAACCAAAGTTCGTCTTTGGAAACTGCAGGACGCGGATCACGAGTGAGACGCCGACCAACCATATCCCACACGTGCTCAATAGGCGACATATCCGGCGAATAAGCAGGCCAAGGAAGAAGTTGCATGCGTTGTGCTGAACAGAAGTCTCTAACAGTCCGCGCAACATGTGGGCGTGCATTATCCTGCTGAAAGATAGCTCCAGGGATGCCTTGAAGGAAAGGAACGACTTCGGGCTGTAGCACTTCACGGACGTATCTGTTGCTATTGAGATTACCCTCAATTCGTATCAAATTGGATCGTCCATGATACGAAATCGCACCCCAGACCATAACTCCGGGTGTTCGACCACTATGTCGTTCAATAATACACTCAGGAAGGCAGCGTTGACCGGCATAACGTCTAACACGAACACGGCCATCATGGGTCCACAAATTGAAGCGTGATTCATCTGAAAAGACAACTTGGTGCCAATCAGCTCGCCAGTCTCTGTGCTCAAGAGCCCACTGCCGACGCAGCCGTCGATGATCCGCCGTGAGGGGAATCCTGTATAATGGCACCCTTGCACGCAATCCACGGCGCAGCAGACGACGACGAATTGACGAAGCCGACAATTGTACACCTGTAGCAGTAGACCAATGTGCTGCCAGCTGCCTGGAGGAAGCTGTGCGATCATTCACCGCCATGCGGAGCAGGTGTCGATCATCGCGCTCTGACGTCACCTTCTGTCGTCCAGTGCCTGTTTTTCGAGTTGTTCGGTGCTCGTCGGTCCACTGCTTCCAAACTCGCATCACTGTGGAACTGTTCCGCTGCATACGAGCTGCTATTGCGCGATAGGAAAATCCTCCTTCTCGAAGGCCGATTATCCTCCCTCGTTCAAACTCCGTAAGTTGCTTGAATTTCTTATTCTTCCGTCGTGGAGGCATACTCAGGTCTCACTAAACGTTTGCCACTAACAAATAATCATAGACTATTTTCAACGTCCCGCTACAGCACTTTATTTATACGCTTTCAGCATCAATTCAGAGGGCGCTGCGCGCGCCACGCACGCGCGATGGCTCTGAAACTTTATTAATTTGCATAATATCCTATAATTGACATTTGCTGCGAATTTCATTTGATTCTGATGATTCCTTCATGGTGTTGCATTTTCTACAAACAGCAGTTTATATATATATGAAAAAAATTATTAATTCGTACCGGTCAGAGATATCAAAAAACGTGACGAACATCGTTAATCGTTAAAAGAAAATTAGTCAATCGTAAAAAGAATAAAAAAAGAGGTCATCTAAAGTTTCATTTTGTAATTTTCATTATAAATTATGTAATTTTCATTTTAACATTTATTGTAATTTTCGAAATTCGATTTGTACGAACGATTTGTTTAAATAAATGATACGAGTTAGTTTTGGTGGTTACCTTAATTTGAATGTCTTTATTAATTAATGTTGCGATTGGATTTTCCCTCTAACTGAATTGCTATTGCGAGACTTTTCAAGAGGTTTAAATTTTTCTCGTAAATATCAGTTCCACGAATCCGAGCCAGTCTAGTGTTCCTAATTTCTACCCCGAGACACCTATTCCTCAATTACTTTTGGCTTAAGTGCACAATTGTGCACACAGGTACACAACTGTACTTAATGCTCTTGCCATTATTTGCTACATTTAATCGATCATGTTGTAAGGAGCATGTACGCAAGCTAATATCCTAGTTATTATTATTATAGTAGACGAAACTTGTTATTTATAATTCATTAACTTATTTACACAAAAAAAGCATAAGTGTTTTGTTTTCATGAACTAGCCATTATTTAGAAAACACGATATCAATATAATATAATTATAAAAAATTTTAGTTTTAAATTTTTGACTATGTCTACTTCCCAAAAAACAAATCGAGATAATATTTCAAACAATTAGGTACTTGCGACTCAAGAAGAAGTAATTATGCCTAAATATTGCATTTAAATAAATTTAATTGGATACCTCTCAACGGTATCAAGCGTGTGTGTCTAACCTGATAGGCTTCTGAATTAACAAATGCCTCGATTTACCTACGATGACGTCACTTACAGGCATCCAATTATATAATAGTACTTTTTTGTTGCTGTTCAATGGTTGATGTTTCCATGTTGATTTTGCTTTTTCAGTCACGATTCGAAAAGATTCCAATGCAATGGAAATGCTTAGTCAGACAGTCATGTGCAGTCAGAAAGAAGATGGAAGACGGGTTATAGCTTACTTCCGTGAACTGCTGGGTATTATTAAGAGTTCTTCAGCCCTCTAACACTTTAATTTTTAGCCCCCTCTGTAATTCAGCAAATCCAATGAATAGACACCATCTCCGTTGATGTGCATCACTTTGCGGGGATTCTGAGACAGCACTTTACTGGCGTGCTTAAGAACTTTTAAGGCAATGTCTTCGGTCACTACTTTTAATTGTATTTTACTTTTATATTTACACCAACTAGATATCAATGATATGGGTAAGAAAAACATACCTGACACAGTACTAAAAATAAATGCATTATGCATGCCACAAGAGCAATACCCTGAACCAGAATGGACGAGAGTGCACACTGACGGCTCAAAAATACAAGACAGCACGGGAGCAGGAGTACACAGTAAGCTCTTTTCTCACAGCGCCCCTGTGGGATACTATATGTCAAATTTTGATGCAGAGATCTTCGCTATATCGATAGCTCTGGACAACCTTAAGAATAAGATCAATTACTTCACTAAAGCAGTAATCCTTGTCGACTCTAAGGCAGCTATCCAGGCAGTTGCCATAAACCATGATTCAGATACTCAGACTGTTTCAGAAATTAGAGATAATTTGATTTTTCTCGAGAATGCCAACAAAATTATTATGTTCCAGTGGATCCCTTCGCATTTGGGAATCAATGGCAATAAAAAGGCAGACCAAGTAGCCAAGAAAGGGACACTCGAACCACAATGTAATAAACCGATTCCACCAGGCTCCCTCAAAAAATAATTTTCCGTGAAACTTATGGCCGACCTAAAGCGCAACCAAGCAGTAAAATCCACCGGAAAACCCTGGGCTAACATCCAAAACAGAGAAATTCTGTCACAGTCCTCGTAAGAAGGCTGTGGCAAACTTCAGACTCTCAACAGGCCATGACTGATTGGCAGAGCACCTCAACAGAATAAGTGCGCTTCCATCTAGTGAGTGCCAAATCTACAATTCGGGAGCCATGAGCTCAGACCACTTGCTTGTATGACCCTTACTGGACAAACAATCTCAAGAGCGAGGTGATCTCTGTAAATCTGTAAACTTTACTGGGATGCCAGAGATCACATGAACTCTCTGTAAAGACTACTCCTCATTCTTCATTGTATATATTTTTTTTTTACTTTAATTTTATCTTTGTGTTCTTTTTGTGTTTATATGCGTTTGTCATGCGTTTTCTTTGTTTGTTAATGTAATTTTGTTCCTTTTTACTCCCTTTTTATGCCCACTTAAAGCTGAACATTGTATATGAATTAATATTTCCAATAAAGCCATATGTAACAACAACTTTAATATTTACTATTGTTCTTGTATCACTTCTTGTATATTTGTTCATGCCTTGTCATTGCAAATAAAAGCAAAATATAACAACAAAAATTTATTGCAAACAATCGGGGTTTCATCAAATTAACTACGTCATCTAACCGGTATTAAAATTGCTTAGTACATAAAAATGAGATGATGATGCCTGTTAAATGTACCTTATTTTAGCCAGCAATTGTCTGACAATAACAACAAAAAGAAATAGAAAAAAATACACTTTGTTATGAATTACGAAAAGTAAACTACTTATCTTCTTCAGCCTCGTAGATTGGACATCTAAATTGGGTGTGCAGATGAACAAAAATCTGTATATCACAGTTAAATTTAGATTTGTCATGATTATTCAATGTAAAATTCTCTGGCATATCCATTGTGATAATGCAAATGATTGATACTCTTTATTGATCATTTCCGTGAAATACTATATTTTTGAAATTCTACTAAAATTGCTACAATATAATGTTAAAATTCGTTGTTAAAATTATTATGCAATTTTTAATTGACTTTTAATAAATTCGGATTCGGCTTACGTTTTTGGTGATATAACAAATTTGCTGCAACAAGATGATAAATTAAATTTTATTTCCGTTGTAGTAAAACCATATTGCCATGCAAAATACGTTGAAGAAGAATTAACTTACCCGAGATTAGCGTTGAAATTTTGTACATCTTTAATTCTATCAGAAATTGGTTAAAAACAGATTATTAAAAGAAGATTTAAAAACTTTGAAAAAATAGCACTTATCATTCCTTCAAAATAAAGCCTCTAACTAAAATATAGTTTGGAAGATAATTTTTTAATTATTATTTTTAAACTATTCTTCAGCGTTATCATATTTTTCCTCCTTTCTTACACTGGCGTTAGATTTTATCAAAACCACTAAATATTTTTGATAGCTTCATAAATTAATAAAAGTATTCATAAGTTGGAAGGCATGTTTTATTTCAAATATACATGAGGAATGGAATAATATTTATTCTATTGCCCTTATGCATAGTGTTCAAGTTCAAGTTTATTTGCGCATTACGACATCGGTGAAAAACCTGAAGTATATTTTATGTAATTTTTTTCTTACGGTGAAGACAATATTATATGCTCCACTGATCCCATATCGCTGACAGCAAACGCCAAACGATAACTCTCCTTTACTTCTACTTTCACTTCTTTTAGGACAATAAAATTCTGAAAACGAACGATTTTAGCAATCATTTCCTTGTTTGCATTTTAGAAGAATTTTGCCAACAGAGTGGTGATAAGTGCGAAGATTATAGCTGAGTCCTGCATCGTTGGCGTAAAGCTATGCAGCACATTTTTACACTTCGTTGGATATCAAAAAAAGAGAAAATCATGGGTGAAAAAAGAAATTCTAAAATCTTCACGCTGAGGTAGCTCGAATGAAGGAAAATTTATTGCTCCGTAACACAGTAGCGTTATCATTCTTTAAGTGGAATGATATATACGTATTTTTTTTTCGGTTGTAAATCAATTGAAAGCTTGATTTTGATTCGACAAAAGTAAAGTTCTGATCTATAAGTTATATCTGCTGATCGGCAAAGGGATTATTTTATCACGTCGCCATTTTGTAACACTCTTAAGCAAGTAACTAGCTGATTATTTTTAGAGATATTTGTTATCAGTGAGAGCAATCGAATCTTTTATTTAAAAAGATATTAACCTCTTGAAACTAAAGATAGGAGTTTTTTTTTTGCCGATTAATGAGAAATTTGGGATAGTTATGACCTTTTCTTAAGTAAAAACAACAAAAAATGAAAGTTTTCAGCTAAAAGTTTTCATAAGAAAGACGTAAAAGATCTTTAAACTATCATTGGAAGAAAGATCATAAAGCGAGAAATTCGGAGACAAAACCTTTTGTGCTGTAATCAAAATAAAAGGGGAAAAATTGTAGCTAGGAAAATGTATTATAGCCTTATCTATATGAAAAACGATATACATTATGTGAAATTGTAAACACAAATCCATGAAACTGTGTTTTTCAATCTGGGTAAAAGTGTACTTGAATTTATGTTCCTCCATCCTTATTAATTTTGTTAGATGTTTTAGAATTTATTTTACTATCAAAGACATATTTTCAAATTTAGTTTATAGTGCTCGTGGTTTTTTTTAAAAAATAGATAATTTTTTACGATTAATGAAAAAATTATTAAAAAGTATATAATATTAGTATATATATGATTCCAGCATTTACTTCTTCCGAGGAAAGAGCACTATCGGATCATTAATGAGGAAAATAGGATTAAAAGCAACAAAACCTGATTGATTGCCGGAGAAATCAAACAGGAAAAGTGGAAGAAGCACCTCCAAGTTTCACCAGGAATTTGAAACTGATTTTCATGTTTTTCATCCTGCTTTTTTCACACTATTTCCTGATTCAATACAATTCAGTAGCCTTTTTTTTTCTTACTGAAATATCAATTTCTACTTTTTAATGAACATACTTTATTTACTTTAATTATACTACGAACTCTAAAAATATATATTAAGTGCAGTTATCACAGGGCATCTTGTATATCTAAATTGTCATCACTTTTTAAATGGCAATATCAGAAAATAATTATAACCAGTAGAGCAATGGTGATAGATGAAATAATAAAATTTCTTTTAAATAATTACTGCATTCGAATTTGTAACTCGTATTTACCAAAAAAAAAAATCCTTTTAAATGAAATATGTATGCGGGTGTAATTTCCCTTGTTAAAAAAATATCCGTAATTACACCTTTGTATGATTAGAAATATTAGGTTAATTTAAGGTCAATTTTCTTATTAAAATATCAAAATTAAAAAATAATTAGTAAGAAAAATGCACATGATATTAGGGTACCTGAAAAACAAAGTAAATGTACTCGCATAATAAAACTAACACTTCACACTTGCTTTTTAATATTGATGACAGATGATTATATAATGTCCTGCAATGGTGATAGATGTAATTATAAAATTTCCTCAAAATAATTTATTCGGAACTTCAAAAATTATTCAATTTTATCAAATGAATTATTTTACTCGTATCATTTATCCTTGCTGCGATTCAATAAGTTACTCTTATTTAACAGAAAAAAATATACTTTAAATAAAAAAAAAACCAACGCAGTGAAACACAATTGTTAACAAAAACGTCACAATGCGTGAATCAGCGTATGGGGCAGAATTTAAGAAACGTAATATGTGGCCTGCTCGTTAAATACTAATATACGACTAACTGAATAATGCAAAGCCTTAAAAAGAATGACTCTACATTAAAAGGTCTATTTTTGTATGTCACTGTACTTAAGAAACTTTATTGTCTATTTATCGCCTTCAACATTCAGGTGTCGCAGCCAATCAAAATTTATAAAACGATATTTGATCCTATCATTAACAGCGCAATGTATTTGTGAAGGAACCACTGGAGAGCTTTAATAAGATGATATTTCTTAGGTTTTTTTTCTTCTTTTTTTTTCTTTTTTTTTTCAACGAATTAGTATACAATGTCAGCAACAAGAAGGGAGTGAGTGGGTCAAGGATATATTCGGAAAGATGAATAGTGCGCGATGAACCATAACTGTTTTTGTGTAATAAGGACGAAATAATTGCTCCAATGAAGATTGAGATACGAAAATAGAGAGAAAGGGAGCATCGTATAACTGAAGCATTGATATTAAAAATTGTTATCAATAGGAGAAATTATTTTGATTTAATAAAACTTTGGCTACATTGAAACAAATCATGCCATACAGGAATTCTTAAGACTTATTTTACTGTGGACAAAAAATTTATCACAATGTTTGAAAAGTGGAGAAAAATTTTAAAGTACACACATTGCAAGCAGGGCATTTAAAACTGCGAAGCGAATCACGACTACAAATTGCGTTGCAAATTCAATAATAGAGATATTTAATAAGGTTTGTCTTATGTTAACCATAAAGCTAACTTCATTGTCTACCCCAGTGTTTCCCAAAGTGTGGTACGCGTACCCCCAGGGGTACGGTAACAGTTTAGCGGGGGTACGCTTTCTTATGCGAAATACCTTGCAACAAACGAGAATTTCAAAAAATTTTATTTAAAAATAAAGCTAGCCATGAAAATTTACGATTACGTATTTTTCTATTGGCTATTTCTTGCAGAGTTAACAGTTAATAACTAGTAGTGTCAAAAAATTTTATTTAAAAATAATAGTAATTTCAAAAAATTTTATTTAAAAATAAAGCTAGCCATGAAAATTTACTATTACGTATTTTTCTATTGGCTATTTCTTGCAAAGTTGACAGTTAATAACTAGTGGTGTCAACAGCCAGTTGTGATTTTTAACTTTGGTGCAATTGTTTTAATCACAGCAAAAACGATATCATCCTTCTCACTGATGCAAATAAGCTTATTAACAAAATTTTGTACCAAAAAAGAAAAATAAGCATATGTTTAAA